TCTAATTTCTATGTTATGCTTAATAATCTTGAATCAAATCGTCTTGATCTTTAATTTATCTACGACTCGCTTTTCCCATTGCATTAAAATTAATTGAAATAATTTTCACCGCAGATTGTTATGACGATTCCAACCTAGTCTTAGTTTATTTTTTTAAGGTGCACGGATATGAGTGTCACGACACGGAGAACCTGACCTTCAGTTTGATTTAATTTCGAGGTCTGGCGAAATTAAATTCTTTGTGTAAAGGTCTCCTGAAATTCCTCATCTCCTACTCAAGATGACGGCAGTGAACACACGCAGCAAAAGCGCCTGGTCGTCGCCGTGAGTATACATCGCAAAGATATGCTACTTATGATAATATTTTTATTTCTTTCAACTTGATGAAATATGGAGCTGGAAGGTTACTTGAAAAATGCTAACCGTGAGCGTACGTCGCGTTGATTTGCTTCTTTTTGTAAACCTTTTTACTCCAAACCTGATGCAATATGGAAGAGGAATGTTACTTCAAAAATGCTAACCGACAGTGTAAAAAACTGTTGGCAGAACAATTGAAACTTCCGTTTGATTGGAATTGGGCAAGCGAAAGGAGTTTGGTGTACGTTGCGTTGATTTGCTTCTTTTTGTAAACATTTTATTTCAAATTGATTAAATATGGAGGAGGAAAGTTACTCTAAACACGCTAACTGTGAGTATACTATGCAGGGATGTAATTCATAAACCTTTTAACCGTAATTTAATTAAATTTTGGCAGAAGAGGTAAGGCCGAAGAAGCTAACCTGCTTAAATTACTTAGTGTCAGTGGTGCAAATCGTTTTCTAAAAATTGTAATATTAGTTTGCTTGTCGCGACGGATCAATCTTCTGTGGATATATTTCTCTTCATTCAAATATTTATTTTAAAACGTCATGTATTCGCTCTCTTAAATTGGTTTACATTGGCCCGAAATTTTTAGTAAATTAGTTTAATTGATTGAAAGTACAGCGATGTGAGCAAAATGAACTTAAATTTCAACTCTTGCATAAAATCGGCTACTTCTAGGCATTGCCTTTTATTTCATCGTGGTCCGTTGCAACGCTCTTATCAGGCATACATCAATTATTTTTGGACACTTTCAGGTATTTTCGATCCGTCTGCTAATTCATTTTATTGGAGGCTTAAATATCCTGGAACTCCTTAAAAAAGGAGCCGATTTTAATATTGATGCCTCCTTTAAAAGCAAATTTTAAAATTGATGGAAGTTTTCCTTGCAATTTTTTTAATATACGCACTATAACGATTTGGTGAAGTTTGTGCCGCATGTTTCCATCTTGTTAAGCAACATTCATTTATCCTCGTTCGTTGTGATTCAGCGTACTAACAAAACAAGCCTATACGATATATCAACACAATATATTGACGCCATATGCGCTTTCGTCTTGGTAATGGTATAGGCCTGGACAAGCAGCCTGTGTATTTTTTTACAACCAAATGTCATGTGATTCAAATTTCAGCTGTAATCTTGAAATCTTTAATATGATTCTGATATTCTGCCCGGGATGAGGATTTTAGTGTCTTGAAGGCTCGGCGTTTATCCTTCGCATCCGATTTATAAATAATTTTATGCTTTAAATTCAAGAAAATGTTCTGTGTCAAAAATAACCCACTGTTTGGATACGTTTTGAGACACGTATAGAAGTCTCAGCTTTAAAAAATTGACTTAAATTCCATCAAAGTCATGAATTATTTTTTCGTACCTCAATAACCAATTTACTTCATTAAATTTTATTTAATTGGAATTTGTAGATGACATCCTATTTCATCGTTTTAAACTAATTAGATATAGGTAGCGTTTTTATTTACCGCCAATTTATAAATTTACTGGCTAATTTAACCGATTACAAATTGCCCTTTTGGTTTTTCTTTTGTATTCTAGAATATATATTTTCTAAGTAATTATCGATTATATAAACAAACGATTGGGTGATGATTCCTGCATGTGGCAGTATTCGACCTTACTCTTTCTTTCAATTATGTAGCTTGGATTTCCTATTTTGGATCATGTTTTTGTATTATATATTTAATTTCATTTACGCTTGCGCGTCCGTTACGGTGTCGGCGTCGACCTCTAAAGCCATGCATTGTCGGCAGCCAACGCCCGTAACTAGACAGATTTTTCCGTATATTTTTTCCGTATATTTTATAACATCTTGATTATGGTATTTTTAGACCCCGATCGTTCCTATATAGTCATACAGGAAATTAAGTCCCTATTGTTTAGGACCTTTAAAGGTAGTGGCATATAGTCTTGAATATTTTGAAGATTACAATTGATTAATTTCCATTGCATTTCGCTTAAGTCACGCTGCGCAAAACCAACGCTGGGCTCGTAAAATTTACATTATTCCACATAATTGTATTATGGAATGTTCGTTTCTACATCTTGTACCAACGCGTAAGTTTCATTCAATATTCCTCTACCCTGAACGAAACTAATTGAAACTTTCTACATCTTGAACGATAACTCGTAACGATAAATTCGATGAAATTTCGTGCAGAAGTCAATGATCTCGCAGATCTTTGAATCAAACTGCCATGTTGGCATGTTGACACTCGCTTAATTCAGTGTCTTGTGCTAATTATTGAACTTATTATAATTATATTAAATAATATTATATTATAATTGGGTATATTAAATTGACATAATTATATGTCAATCTTGCATTAAAATGCAAATTTCAGGTACTATAATGAATGATTAAATGAATAAAAATCGTTTCATTTCAAGTAAAGTAACTTCGACGATACTTGTGTAATATTTAATTATTCAGGCAGTGTTTTCAAATAACGCAACTTTGTTACAATCTTATTATTTACTGTATGTATTAAATATGCTCAGAGATAAGATAAATGCCGAGGTTTCCAACACAGTAAGCGTATCTTATATTTCAATAAACTATTTGGTCTGATATTTATTATCACGGGATTTTGTGTATAGACAGCATTTGAATCGTTTATTTGTGTGGTATTAGTCATCATTTAAATATTTTAGTTATGGACAGCAATTTAATATTAGGTATATTTTATGTTCTACATACATACATATGTATGTTATTATTAGAATTTTTCGCAATGGTTAGTTTTACAGTGTACATATTGTCTATTTTTATCATTATTTGATTTTTCGTTACGGACAGCATTTTAATAGTATATTCAATGTATATACATACATACATATGTATCTTATTATTAGAATTTTTCGCAATGGACAGTTTTTCATTGTTTATATTACCTATTATTGATCATATATCGTTCATCATTATTATTTATCGCCCCACGTTCATCTATATTTACCATTATTTTTATTTTTCGTCACGGACAGCATTTCAATACTATATTTTGTGTTATATACATGCATATGTATGTTATCATTAGAATTTTTAACAATGTACAGTTTTTCAATATATATATATTGTCTATTATTCATCATTATTTGTATTTTTTGTTTTTGTTTGTTTAGTTTCAATAGTATATTTTGTGTTAAATACATACTACATATGTTTGTTATTATTAGAATTTTTCTCAATGGTCAGTTTTTCAGTGTAGGTATATCTATCATTTAATCATTTATCGTCCATCATTGTTATTCATCATTTCTCGTTATTATTTATCGTTCATTATTATTATTATTTATTGCCCCCACATTCATCCATATTTGCCATTATTTGTATTTTTCGTTGTGGACAGCGTTTCAATAGCATGTTTTGTGTTATATGCATGCATATATATGTATGCTACCATAATAATTTTTCACAATATACAGTTTATCAGTGTATATATTGTCTATTATTAATCATTTATCGTCCCTCTATCATTTATCGTTCATCATTATCATTTATCGCCCCACGTTCATCCATATTTATCATTATTTATATTTATCGTCCCGGACAGCGTGGCGTGGGGTGAGCGCAGCAGCGTGATGGTGCCCCCTCCCCCTCCCCCGGCGGAGGCGGGGGCGGTACCGCCCCTGCGGGAGTTCGCCGCGGGCAGCGCCATGCACGGCAGGAGGGTCACCGAGGACACGCCCCCTGACCTCCTCGAGGGCACCATGGACCTCACCGTCATCCTATGCACTGCAGGTCAGTGGCACGGCGCACTGCAGGTCAGTGGCACGGTGCACTGCAGGTCAGTGGCACGGTGCACTGCAGGTCAGTGGCACGGTGCACTGCAGGTCAGTGGCGCGGTGCACTGCCGGTCAGGGGCCCGGCGAATATATATCGATTTGTATAACTGTTCTAAATAATATTTATAAAATTATTTTCACTATTGTGTCTAAATCGTGATATTTGAGGGAATAGCATACGAGTAAATGCAAGTTTTACAACCCAAATATTTTAATGAAGCTGTCAACGATGAGTTCGAACGAGCGTAATTACTATGCATTTGTATTATACCATGTGTTAATAGACTAATCTGTGCATGTCTAACCAGATTTTTTTTGTTGTTGATGATTATTAACAAGCTACTATAATTTTACTTATGGTGTGAGCTTTCAAGTGTTTTCAACGTCTTCATTTTGTACTGTAGGTTACATACGGACCTTTAAATTGTACAGTCAAACCACGCTATTAGATCATTGTACAATACAAAACACTTCACCGGGACTTGTAAGCTCGTTACTTAGTACTTATTCCAAGATATGCTCATTCGCCTTAAAATGTGGTTGTTATAAAATGAATTATTACGCTAATGGCTTAGGGATGACATGAAAACGCATTTGTTGTTTATATTAAATATATTAGTGACTTATATTACGCATCATATTTGATTTTATGTCAAAATATTGAGTTGTATACCATATTACATATTTTCATTAGGCACAAGTTTACCATTTTATTGCACAATATATGTATTACTGAGTTTTATATAACAATACACATTTTTTTACACAAATTTGATTGCTCAACATATTACTGAGTTTTATATAACAATAAACAGTTTAATTACACATGACATGCACTGTGCAGCACACCGATGATGGACCTACTGATCCAAGTGACGACATCACACCACATCAGCCCTGCCGGTCACATCATACATGTGGTGTCCGACGCCCGCCCCCTCGCATACAAGCCCTCCACACCCATCGGTCAGACGCCAGACACAAGCTGCTACTTCAAGGGCTTCTCTTCAATATAGACGTCCGTCAGAACCCGGCGTTTTCCTCGCTTTGTTTAGTCTTCTTGTGTGTTTCTTTGCTGTGGAAATGGAAAATAGAAAAATCTACTTGTGAATGACCAAGATAAATATAATTAACTTCAGTTTCATGTTAGTCTACTTATTGTCGTTTTTATATTTTCAGGGTATTATTGGTATTTCGTAGCCTTATTATTATCAAAGTATCATATATGGATCATAGCCAGGGGCCATACTTTCAAAAAAAGTTAAGAGATCGTAAGTTCATCAGCCAATCATTGACGGCCTTTCAAGCAAAATCTACCAATCATAGACAAGAAAATAGAGCGTAAGTTTTTACGTTCACTTAGCGAATTTTGAAAGTATGGCCCCTGGGAATCATAGTTTTATCATAAGTTTCAGGGAATCATAGATGTTTAATGGCCTTATTATTTTCTAAGTATGATACATGAATCATAGCTTTTCAAGTTTCAAGTCATCATAGATGTATCATAGCCTAATAATTTGCATGTTTTCATTTTCATGCATCATTCATTGCCTTATTATTTTAAAGGGATCGTATATGAATCATAGCCTTATAAGTTTCAATGTATCATATATGTATCATGCCCTTAAAATTTTTAAGTTTTCATATAATAATAAAAATATCTATCAAATATGAATGATATGAAAAGTATAAATCATAACCTCATTATTTTCCAGCGAAAATTTGATGGCAAGCTCATTTAAATTGCCTTTGTAGGCCAGCCAGTCGATCTTGTGATTTATTTATCTTGAACGACTTTAATTACTTGAAGTTTTACGTTCACGTAACATTTAAGTTTGTTATGAATTTCATCTATCTTGAATTAGTTTTGTTTTAGTACACAAATTAGATTTCATTTCTTGTTTGCTTCTTATCCGGCATACTTTAACATTTCAATGAACATTTTCTCGTCTCCCCGCTTTATGCGCGATATTTTTTTTCAAATCTAAAGTTACTCTAAAAACCGATAGTATCAATTGTTCATTTACGCTTATTTATGTTTATTGTTTACATAATGAGCTAATTTTTCTGTGTTTATAATTACGTAAAATTATTATTATGTTATTGAATTATTATATTATTTATTATTATATTATTTCCCTCACATGGTATATTTCACAGGTACGCTGGACGCCACCATACTCGAGATTGTCCCCAAGAACAGAATCAACGACCATAAAAGCGACAGCAATAACAGCCTGGGCGAGGCGTGTCAGCGACTCAAGGTGCGTTATCTTCACTTTTATTAATTATTATAGTTATTATACCAAAATTTTAATTAATTACCTTAACTAATTTAACTTAGAACTTTCCGATACTGTGTGAAAATATTGTATGCAAATTGTTTTTGTTGAATTGAAATTATTTTTCACACATGACTTTAATTTCACTTCAATCCGTTTTATAGCAATTATTGATTCATTGAAAAATAGTTTCTATGTTAATTGGTTATATTATTATTTTTTACATTATATTTATAGAAATATGATATTAATAAATTATGTTACATTTTTTCAGCTACATACTTCTGTAAATGGTGTTATTTGGAAGTTCTTAGAAATTCAAATAGTTGATATGTTGCAAATCATTTAAGACTCGTTGCTCTAATTTAATATATTTTTTCCGCCTATATACTTCTTGACCATGACATCGGAACTTATTCTCTTCACTTGACTGACCGTATTAACTTGCATGACTAACTAGAAACATATCTTTCTGTAGTCATAAAACAGTAATGACGGTTTTAAACTTGGACTAAAATTGTAGCTTGAACTTGTATTAATGTACAACTTGGTAAAACATTTTCTTGTCGTGGTTTGAATCTCGTAATTTATTTTTTTTTTATTGGAACTACAATTTATTTGCTGGGTTTAGAAGCACAATTGCATCTAAAATACAATTTTCTCTTTTCATTAAAAAAGTATGTCACAATTGAAAAAAGCGAATTTTGCAATTTATTGATTCTTTTTCAAAATCATCGTAAGCCGGCTAATAATCACCATGTGGCTCATAAAAAAATTGCTACTGTGTTGTAATAAGAAGGGATTGTGATCGATTAATACGTTATCAACTTATTAATTGTTAGGTACTCAACTAATGCGTGATCAATTAAATGGTGTGGGATGACTTACTCGTACTTGGGACTTATTTGTGACATGTAGCCTTCTTTGTGACTCTTATGTGACCATCATTCTGGCCATCATTGTGACCATCATTCTGGCCATCATTCTGACCATCATTGTGGACCATCATTGTGACCATCATTGTGACCATCATTGTGACCATCATTGTGAACCATCATTGTCACCATCATTGTCACCATCATTGCGTGACCATCATTGTGACCATCATTGTCACCATCATTGTCACCATCATTGTGACCATCATTGTCACCATCATTGTCACCATCATTGTGACCGAGATATCATTTTTCACAAATCTGTATATTAAGCAACACAAATCTGTATAATTATCAACACAAATCTATATTTAGCTACACAAATCTGTATATTTAGCTAAAGTCGCCTTCTTACCTCATGGTTTGTGCAGGCGCAAGAGTGGATCTACAAACAGCAACTTGTGGTGAATACTAGTACTAGTTGTTGTGTATATATAATCCTACACCATCGCATCCTACAATCCTTAGTGGCTTACCTTCGCTGGCTTACTTGTAATGAATAATACCTTTATTTTTTATAAATATTCATACTCGTACACCTTATTCACTCATATTCGTGATATTTGTCTTTCGTGCCTACTTTTTGAGGTTTATGAACAAAAATACAATGGTTCTAGTTCTATTGTATTTATATTGCATATACATACGCGTGTTCTGGCTTATCTAAAAGAAATTTTCACATTTCAGCGGGGACTAAATATCTGCCGGGTCTCGGTAGCATACTACCTGTCTATACACGTTCTCATGGTTGCTGTTTCTCTTATTCTTTGGTGTTGTACTGATATCTTATGTGTTTTTTAACTCATCATATTTTTAATGGTGACAATTTCCCAATTCTTTCATAATTTTGGCTATTAGTTTAATTTCTTAATTTTTTTCATCCCTTACTGCTACAAAGTCTCCAATATTTCTGGTATTCTTCTTGCATTACTTTAGGAGTTTTTGTCAAAAGAACTTTTTCATTTGGAATCATTGAAAGAGATGAATTTTTCGTCATTTTCTATGAAAATTTTTACCCTTTGTCAAGGGAATTGCATGAAAATGTTTTTCATAGATATTGCCCCAAATTCCTGTATTGTCATTTTTTTTTTGCTTGGGATGTACGTCATTGGTGATGCTAAGCATGCTTGGTGTTGAAGTTTTCTATTATCTTGAATTGTTTTATACGAATTGAATTAGCGAAAAAAAAATATTTTGATTTGTTTCGGCGTATCATTTCTCTATATAGATGAAGATAGTATTAGTTCACACAGATTTTATTTCTTTTCGGTTAACCTACTGAAAAAATAGTTAGTGCTATTTTTTTAATCGCCCTCGAATCAATAGTTTAATGATTTTATTATCATTATCTTCAGAAAATTTATAATTTAGATATCTTCGTGCTGGTTAATAATTTTGACTGCTTGTGCGCTGATATATAAACTTTATTTTTAATAATTTATTGTAACTAACGTTTTCCGATTTGCTTCCATTGTCCCTAAAGGAATGCCAATGCCTGAGGCCTAGTTTTAATTTTTAAACAGAAGAAAATTTCCTCTCTGCGCTTGTGCCTTCTTCGATTATTTCCAACACTCGCCCCCTCTAAAGTTATAACGAACAAATTTTAGTTTCATTTCACTTAAAAACGGGGGTTGTTCAATGATAGAAATGAAGAAAAAAAAACGTAAAATTTTGGTTTCATTTCACTTGAAAACGGGGGTTGTTCAATGATAGAAATGATGAAAAAAACGTAAAATTTAAAATTTTGTTTTCAATTTTTGTCAATCCCAATTTTGAGATGTACAGTGTAAATAACGCTCGGCATAATTTGCAATATTCAAATTGTAATCAAACCGATATTATCTTTTTTTTGATACCCGCTAAAAACTGAATTCTTAGGCAAGAGGATTTGTTAATTAATTCTTGGTATTAAAATAAAAATGAAATTTTGCTTGGACGTAATTTTGAAATTGCCAATCTAATAATTTCATGTTGATTATTAAACGCTATGTGAATTGAAAAGTTATAAATTTTGGTCTCCCAATGTCAGAGATTGAATGTCCAATTGATTCAAATTGAGTATATATTTATTTAATTAACGTTCACTAGCATTGATAAAACTCGCATTTCCGAGGTTTTCATTCAGTGCCTGATAAAAGACACAGAATTCATTTTAAATAATTAAAATATTTATGGCACTTTCTTCGCGTCAACAATAACGATCACTCGGGTAATGATTCCCCGTAATTTAAAGTATATGTAACTCTGTATCTAATTTTGATGACAGGAAGAATTTTTGTGTATTGACTCCGAAGTATTGAAGTTTGATAATTGTTGAAAATCAATCGTACTATGACTTGCAGTAAATAAATTATCAAAAATGAACTACTAAAAAAAGTAAAAATATAAATAAATTAAATTTAATTATAAAATTATCTATCGGAAGTATCCAAACTAAATGAACAATTTGAATTATCTAAAAATAAATAAATTTTCTAAATTATCTAAAAATAAATAAATTATCTAAATAATATAAATTAAGTAAATAAATCTAATTAACAACGTATCTGGTGCCGCACGTGCAGGTTAACTTGCCGCGTCAGCAGCTGGCGGTGTACCGCGTACCTCCTCACACACGCCTCGCTGACGTCCTTACGATGGTCTGTGCTGACAAGGACATCAGCAGCGCTGACGTGCGCCTCCGCAGACCTGGTACGTGGTACTGCCTTCTGGTACGTGGTACTGCCTTCTGGTACGTGGTACTGCCTTCTGGTACGTGGTACTGCCTTCTGGTACGTGGTACTGCCTTCTGGTACGTGGTACTGCCCTCTGGTACGTGGTACTGCCCTCTGGTACGTGGTACTGCCTTCTGGTACGTGGTACTGCCTTCGGGTACGTGGGCCTCTTCTAATTATCGCTATTAATTCATAGCTTTGCAAAATTGAAAAAAAAAATCCGTGTTCGTATCGTTTTTCAGATTTCTTTGCTGTCACTGCTATGATAATTAGCATTAATATAATTTTATTAAACTTTATAATTATAATCTTATTAAACTATTAAACATTATGAAAATCCTCGAGCTATGTTAATAACGAGTTCCATTATTATAACAACTATGTTTCTAGGGGCTGAGTTTCATCAAACTCAAGATAACTCTAATTAATAATTAATTAATTAATTAATTAATTATTCTAATAATTATTTCCAAAGTTACGATGGTATAACTGTTGTGTAAGAATTATAGTGTGACATCACGCCTCATTTCCTGCTATTATTATCAGTTGAAGTACCTCTCTCCTCACTATTGTCTCGGAGTCTTAATATTTTATATTGTACACAATATTATTTGTATCACCTCTACTGATAAGGACTACTTGACCAGGTTGTTCGGTACGGATGTCATTTTTTGACTAGAAAATTTCGGCCAATTATCTGTGATCTTTAAGTTTTTCAATGATTATTATTAAGGAATACGAAATTTTCTAATCATTCACCGTATTTTTATTTGTTAAAGCGATGCTGATTTTTTTTTCGATTAGATGAAACTAATGTGAAAAGATGCGATATTTCTGTTTCATTACGTGAATTGAATCCTGTTCAGTTTCAATTTGATATTCGTACAAATATTTGTAATTGACCTCCAAGTTATTTTGTTACGAAATTTCTCATTGAAATTGTTTTGAATGAATTGATTCAAATGAATGATTTACTAAGGTTGTATAATTTCTTAGAATCATGAAAAATAAAAACTATTATTTGTACAATCCTCGCTATATGAGGCCTGCACTTATTATAATGATTATTGGCAGAAAATGCCACGCATTCCTTCTACGTACACAGTCATATTCTCAAATAGGTCCTGATTTTATCAGTCCGCTGATAAGCTCTTTATTGCTGATAAACCTGAGACTTTGTATGGCTAAGCGTTCTGTGCCAGACAACCTCTTCTCCAGTTACGTTGCCTTCATCAGTTGAATTGTTCAGTTGCGTTCACACGTTGTGCTGAACAACAGCTCTGTGTTTTTTACACTTCAGTGTTGCGGAAACTTAATCTATAACTGTTATCAAAATAATTGAAATAAATTCAATTAAATACTCGTCAAGAAAACAATTTCTTCGTTTGAGGTCTGTTTGCATTTCATTTTATATCCTTGTGATAATCTGACATTTCTCAGTCTATTGCTGCGTAGAATATACTCCATATTTATTATCACATTATTTAAATACTATTAAAATTTATATTTTTTAATGAAAACCTTTCTTCGTCTTAAGTCTGTTTGCATTCACTTTTAACCGCTTCGCGTTGCAGTAATAAGCAGGTTATTTTAGCTTGGCTACGCAAAGCAAGGATTGGACTCTATGGCAGTTTAATAAAAAAGAAAATGTCTTATCTAAACTTAATTCTTTCCTGTTTAAATTCCTGCTTCAGTTTTATATCCTTCTGTGTGTCTCATTTATACCTTACTCGTCTTCTTTTATTCCTGGACTTTATTCATAATATCATATCAACCCTCAAATCGATATGAGATTATCAAATTACTCTGAAAGATATCAACTCCAATAATTTAAATTTGAAAACACCAAGTGTTTGGAGTATCTCTGATGGTTTAAATTTTGCTGTGCAATGTTTAATATTGCTGTCTCGCGGTCGAAGCATTTTCTAGAGGCGCTTAGGAAATGACATTTATTCAATGATCATCGAACAAATCTTACTTTATTAGAACTTAAGAACTTTTTTTGCGTTGTCACTTATTTATACGAGCGTGGATTTGATATGATTAGCATTGAACTTATTGGCTTGGCACAGTTTATTGCAATCAGATAAGATAACGTTACGTGATACTCTTCTTTTCCATTTGAACCTCAATGTCGGTTGTGAGCCATTAATAATCATGAGCCAATATTATTACTATTTGATAATATTGATATTGAACAAGAATTGCTTTTAATTTTTTTATTTCCTCAAAACTTTATTCTTTTAAGGACCTATTGCTGCTGCATCTCATGCGCGAGACATCTTGCTATTCAGAATCTAATGACCCATTTCTGCTAATGCGACCGTATATTTCTGATATATGCTTCTACTTCACGAGTTGCGTCATTATATATCCAAAGAATTTTAGTATAGGATGGCAAAATTTCTTCGTTCAGACAAGTTAGACAATCTAACTTGTCTTAATCTAAATAATTAGGATGGTATGGAATTCACTTTGAGTTATTTTTCGATAAAATTGTTTTGATATTAAAATATAAGTTTAAGTTATTACTACAGCTGAAGGCTGTTGTCCACAGATTGGTTAATGAGGCCACAAAAAAAGATCGTTATCAGCGTGCACATTGACCTAGCACTTATTATTCTCCTACTTAATTAGATTCGGAGTATAGTTATATCGATGAAGTGTATGACCGATCTGTGGTATCCTTATTTGTTTTTCGAGCATTTTTTATATCACATCTCATTTTCTTCGATCACATACCGGTCAGCCATTTTGTTTTTTCAAAGATTAGCATCCCTAGTTTTTATTATTTGTCGTTAGAGGCGCTGTTATGCAAAATTATCATATATATGAGTCGTGCTTTCAGATTTTAAATTTACCAACCACGCTGATAAAATTATTAATCAAATTACCTAATTGAAAAACACAAGGACTTCTAATTTTTATAATTGGGATAATATTTCTATCCAATAGAAAAGCCTGACGAAGATCTTGACTCGTCCCTGACTAATTAAGCAAGTTATCTAATTGGAAAATGCGATGACTTCTAATTTTTAGCGAAATCTCATGCGCGAGACATCTTGCTATTCAGAATCTAATGACCCATTTCTGCCAATATGCGACCGTATATTTCTGATATATGCTTCTACTTCACGATTTGCGTCCTTATATTTATAAAGAATTTCATTATAGGATGGTAAAATTTCTTCGTTCAGACTAGTTAGACAATCTAACTTGTCTTAATCTAAAGAATTAGGATGGCATGTATGTAAAGGATGGCATGTAAAGAATTACGATGGCTTAATCTAAAGATTTATTATGGCATGTATGGATTTCACTTTGGGTTATTTTTCGATGAAATTGTTTTGATATTAAAATATAAGTTTAAGTTATTACTACAGCTGATGGCTGTTGTCCAGAGATTGGTTAATGAGGCCACAAAAAAGATCGTTATCAGCGTGCACATTGACCTAGCACTTGTAATTCTCCTATTTAGTTAGATTCGGAGTAGTTTTAATGATGAAGTGTATGACAGATCTGTGGTATCCCTATTTGTTTTTCGAGCATTTAATTTATCACATCGCATTTGTTCTATCACATTCCCGTCAGCCATTTTTTTTTAAAGATTAGCATCTCTAGTTCATAATATTTGTCTTTAGAGGCGCTGCTATGCAAAATTCTTGTTTATGAGGCGTGCTCTCAAATTTTAAATTTACAAACCGCGCTGACAAAATTCTTCATCAAATTACCTAATTGGAAAATATAAGGACTTTGAATTTTTTAATTGGGATCATAGTTCTGTCCAATATAGAAGCCTGACGAAGATCTTGACTCAGACTTCTAATTCTTATAATTTGGATAATATTTCTGTCCAACAGAGAAGCCTGAGGAAGAAATTGACGAGTCCCTGACTAATTAATCAAATTATCTAATTGGAAAATGCGAGGACTTCTAATTTTTAGCGAGGACTTCTAATTTTTAGCGAGGACTTCTAATTTTTAGCGAGGACTTTTAATTTTTAGCGAGGACTTTTAATTTTTAGCGAGGACTTTTAATTTTTATAATTGGGATCACAATCATATCCAACAGAGAAGCCTGACGAAGATCTTGACGCGTCCCTGACTTTACACGACCTCGACCTGCACGAGGTGTCGCTGGTGCCGCTGAGCTACGCGCCCCCGCCGCTGTCCGTGAGCGACCTCCTGACCATGAGCTCCCTCGCCCACCAGCAGCCTGACCTCCCCGCCAAGAGGAAGAGCGTCTTCAGGCTCTTCTCGCGCAAGAATAAATCCGTGAGTGAATTAGGATTTAATAAGGAAAAAACTTGATTTTTATAATATGTGTGCGTCTTCAGGCTCTTCACGCGCAAGAATAAATCCGTAAGTGAATAAAGTTTTTCTAAGGAAAAAAGCTTGATTATATTCATAATGTGTGCGTCTTTAGGCTCTTCTCGCGCAAGAATCAAGTGAGTGAATCGAGTTTTTCTAAGGAAAAAACTTGATTATTTTCATAATATTATGAAAAAATAAGTTGATTATTTTCATAATAGAAAGTTTACTATTTTCATAATACCGGTAGGTATGTGTTTTATATCCGTAGCAAATTATCAGTAGGAGACTTTAAGTATATGATATATGAATATGCAGGATTAAATTAAAATTAAAGATCGGTTCAAACAACAGTGGAAGAAGACAGTGCATTTTTATACAAGTCACTCCGAACGATAAAGTTAGTTCACATAGGCTGATTAGGGGACAAATTAAAAAAATGATATTTAGACATTGCTCACTCGTGTTCATCTTTCTATTTCTCTTTGTGGCACTCATTATACTGTCGGTTTTATAAATATAAAATAAATAATAATAAACGCGGATAAAAATCCGCGTTTCTATTATTTGGAACAAACCATCAATAACGTATCGTTCTCTTCAACGATCAAACGGCTTACATTTTATTTTACCTGAATTGAATATAAAAAATGTTTACTTAACCTGGATTGAATAGGAAATGTTACTTTACCATAATTGAATAGAAAAAAATACCTTATCTGAATTGAATAGAAAAAGTTTACTCTACCTGAATTTAATAGAAGAAAATTTGCTTTACCTGAATTGAATGGAAAAAATGTTTACTTTACATGAATTGCATAGAAAAGAAGTTCACTTTACCTGAATTGAATGGAAAAAATGGTCATTGAAATGTGTTGTGTTTCTAACCACGTTCAAAAGTGAAGGATTTGCGCGCTGTTACGTGTTGCATGCATAGAAAAGATAATAGTCGGTATAGTGAATATTTGTACAGGCAGCGTCGGTTGTCCGTTTGCATAAGCATTCAGAAATATGAATTGTTCACTGGGCAGGGTGGCCCAGTGGTTAAAGTTCAGAGTACCAAGATTGGCGCAGAGAGGCGCGGGTTCGATCCCAGCTCTGTGCGCCAGTTTCTGGTCAGAATCGGCAAGGAGGCCGGGCGGTTAAGCACAGCAGAATTGTAGCAGTGAGTTGCGTGTTCGAGACCGCAACAAGCTGTGGATGTTCTGCGATGTTAAGAATCGGCGACAGGCCCACGGCCTACTAACTCTGAAACCGCTATTATTATTATTTATTATTATATTGTAGAAGTACTGACACACTTTCTCATCCACAACACGTGAAGAAAGCGGGCATATCAATAATACTTATTTTTCCGAGCCAAATTGGGTCAGGATGACAAACGTAAACACAAAGTATTTGGACAGTCCCGCACATTTCTCTGAGTGAGCGAATTTTATTACTCGATATTTTGATGTAAATTAATTAGCGAAAACTACGTAAGGAATAAAATGTTAATGCGCGTTAGGCATGAGCAGCGGGCCCAGTTCTCATGGCGATATCAGGACGCGATAAGATAGGCCTCAGGCCGTCGATGACCGCTCTCGACGGTGTCGATCTGGACGAAGTGCTCACGATTTCTCATCGTTAATAATATCGCATATTCGTTACTAAATTAGCGCTGAAAATGTTAATTTTCAGCGCCAATACCTTATTAACGTAAATAGGTACACTATTATTTTTCAATATTAATCAGAATGAAAATACAAAAATAAAAATTGGCGCTGAAAATAATTTTTGATTTCGCTCTAATTGCTGATGTATGCAAGATTATTTTAATTACCGAATGGTGACGTTAATATGGCGCTTTTATTTAGACTGACATTTATTATAATTAACTGCAACTATAACTAGTTTAACTAGCTCTTAATACTCTTAAAATGATTTATTTCTTGTTTAAAGCTTGAGCCACCATTTATAATTGGAACAATCAATGCGTAATTCTTCCTTCCTATTTTTTCTTAACCAATTTCTCGTTTCCCTCAATAACAGCGACCCTCGGCTACACGCGCCCCTCCGTTGTCCTCTGTCCCTCAGGTCATTATTGGTGTCATGCTCTTCTACATTTACGGTCTTTTTGCTTTCAGTTATAATCGGTATTTTTGCTAATGTTTTTGATCGTGCCGTTTACTTATTGATTATTGTTTTGCGCTGTTTTTTTTTTTTGTTACGGGACTTATTTTTCATTCAGTTTAATTATTTTTGTTTCTGTAGAATAATTTGTTTTTCCCGGTTGTGTAGTTTTGTAGATAGATAAAACTTGACACGTAAAACCAATGTAGATAAAACTTAACACGAGTCGAGTACGTTTATCTCGCCGTTAAACATACCCGACATCATAAATAAATTGTATCGTAAATGGAAGTTCACTGATTTATACATTTTGCTGCGTTTACTAAGTATGGTGAACATGCATGGGTGCACTCTCGGAGAAATGAAGGATCTGGAGTTGAATGTGTGAACCGATACGCATGACATTATGGAAGGGATTATTTAATTACATGTTGGTGGGACTTGTTTAATTGTGGTATACATGAGGAACGTTGAATGGAACTGTTATTTCATCCCGTTTGTGTATAGAATTCTAACCTTTTTGTGCAAAGTATTCTATCCCTTTTGTGCATAGTATTCCACCCCGTTTTTTGCAAAGCATTCCACCCCGTTTGTTGCAAGGTATTCCACTTAGTTTGTTGCAAAGTATTCCACCCCGTTTGTGCAAAGCATTCCACCCCGTTTGTGCAAAGCATTCCACCCCGTTTGTGCAAAGCATTCCACTTCTTTTTGGCCTATAATTCCACCCCGTTTGGGCACAGAATTCCACTTCTTTTTGGCCTATAATTCCACCCCGTTTGGGCACAGAATTCCACTCTATAATTGGGCGTATAAAGCCACCCTGGTCATAGGTAGCTACGAGGACTTCAAGTGTGAGTACACCTGTTCTCAGGTGCGTAGCTCTTATCGCTGCTGTGCTTATCGCTTGGGAAATTGTACGGTATGGTACAAGTTGGAATGCCGCAGTGTACTCACTTTCATCACTTGCTTCATTGTAAGGAACATACATATATTGTGAACACGGTGTTCATTGTAATGAATATTTATTGTGAACACGGTGTTCATTGTACACTGTTAGAAAAATGACCGTTAACGGTAATACCGGCGTTTCAGTGGCCGGTCGGCACGTGAAAAGAAACACCGTTTCACCGTTTTTACTCCAATTTAACACCAGAAATACGTAAAACATCTGATAAAAACGGCGAAACAGTTTATTTTCACGGGGCGACCGGCCACTAGGATGCCGGTGGGACCGTTTTTTCACCGTTTTTTCTAACAGTGTAATGAACCTTTATTATGAATACGATGTTCATTGTAATAAACCTATTATGAACACGGTGATCATTGTAATGAACCTTTGATAAAAATACGGGAGATTCCACTTACTTCTTGAATTAGTATCCTAAGCTATTGATAGCAATTTTACAAACGTATTAAACGATTTCCAGTGTTCATATTCGCCCGTTGATACCAGTATTTAATTTTGCTACGAGAACAATGTCGAATATTCAGTCAGCTGGAGATTGGCTTTCTCTTTTTGACTCGACGATCCATTTGAATTGCTCTATATTTGTCACCAAGGTGTGATCTATCATAGAATCTCTTCGATTATTTGGGCTTAATTGAGGTTGACTTACGATGGTGATAGAATGTGGTTAAATCGTTCGTTCATGGCTAGCGACACAAACATCCGGTGTTTCATGGGCCACGCCCAAGCTGTGCTTCCTTGCGTAAAAGGGATTACGTTGTTATGGCTCGCAGTCAGAACGTAATGATGTTAGATTATTTTATCGACGAAATTATGCCAGGGATATCTCTATTCTATATAAATTTTGCAAAAAAACGAGTACAATGAGTAAATTTTTCTATATTTTTACTTTTCATTCAAAAATAAAAAGGCGGCCTCCCTTGGCTTCCTCGGATCTCGTGGTGGTGACTTGTGATTGTATTGTCATAAAACAAACTTCTTTATTGAGGATTATCGGCTCTGTCAAGCTGAAAAGTTGGCCTCTTGCTTTGAAATTCAGGCAAGTAGACTCTGAGAGCCAAACTCCATAAATGCTTTACTTTTCAATGTGTGCTCGCTGCATCCTGCTCACGAATCAGATTTACATTGCATATTGACTTTAATTTTGTTGAATATGACAAAACTATGGGCACTATATGTTTGATTTATTGATGGCAATAAATTATAGGTGATAATTCCAAACCCTTACTTTTAATCTGGTCATAAACAAGACGAATTTCGGCAACACATGATAGCGTTTTACTGCGAACAAAATTCATTTCTTTCCATTAGCACTGTGGCTTTTGTAGAGACAGTTTAATAACACATCTAAAATGTATTTTGGTCTGAATGTATTCAATCAACTAATGTTTGTTGATTGTCGAGTTACCTCTAACTTTGGGGTGTGGCAGATTTCGAAAACTTAAGATTTGCATTAAAAATTTAAATCAAATCACTAACTACTATTAATTGAATAACGATACTTTTTATAAATGATGTTGAGTGAAAATCATGTTACTTGAATAATTAAAATACTAACCAATTTATCTAAATTGCGATAATTTGATTTGATTGAATAGGTATTTTTATGGTAATTTGATTGAATTCAATTAAAATTCTAACAATTTAAATTACGTTAATTACATTATGATGATTGTTCATGTTAATTAATTATTTAATTGCAACAGAGCACCGGAGACAGCAGCCTGTCGTCAGGCAGCGCTGGGGAGCGCAGCGCGAGCCCCACGCGCTAATGGGTTGAAATAAGGGAAGTTATGATGCGCCAGAGATTCTTGATTCTCATCATCACACGGGCAGTTACTGGTCACCAGATTGAAAAATGAAAATCGGTATAATAATAATAATAATGATAATAATTGAAAATGATTATAATATTAGATAAATAAAAATAATAGTAAAACGGTAAAAATAATCATACGATGGATGATTTTGTCCGTTTCTAGTTTTCCTCTCTAGTCTAACTAATTATTTGGGAAAAAACTTTCGTACCGTAGTGTTTGGTAAAAACGCTTGTTCATTAGTTGGTATCTAACTAAATTGTCCAAAATTTTATTATAAATATTATTATTGAACTATTATTATTATTTATTAACTATCATTATTATTATTGAACTTTTATTATTAGTATTATTAATTATTGAACTAAACTGTCAAAAATTTGTGTATAAATAATTTTATTATTAAACTATCATTATTATTATTGACTATTATTATTAATGGTATTATTAATTATTGAATTAAACTGTCAAAAATTTTGCTATAAAAATCTATCGTTCGCAGCCCCGGCAGCCCGGAGGCCGGCCAGTGTCCATGCTGGAGCGGCCATCGGACGGCCGCCTGTCCTCCACCCTCGGCGGCCGCGGCCACTCCAACGTCACCAACTCCAACGCTAACAACAACACTCATAATAACAACGCTAACAACAAGACTGACAATAACAAAAGGTGGTGGTGTTGTAGAGTTTTTATGTGGTGTTTTTTCTTCATGCTTTTGTGCAGTTTTAAATTGTGAACTGCGTTGCTTTTACATTTTTAACCATAATAAAAATTGGCGCTACATTACCAAAAGCGTTGTCTCGTATGTTCTTGTATTATATCGTAATTTGCAAGATGTATACTATAATAATGTATCATAATATAATGTAAAATCAAATATATATGGTAATACAATATATGATATAATGTATAAANTGCCCCCCGATGGCAAGGTAACGTCTAAATATGAGTTGCAGTGTGGGCTAATTATCCTTTAATTACTTTATTTTTATTTTTTAATTAATTTATCCTTTAAAACGTTAATTTTTTATCCCAGATTAAATTGAATACTTTTATCCTTTTTCCTTTAATAGTTTATTCTTTAAAAAGCGCAAGGTGAGTTACCTTCCCTACCGCCCCACGCAGGCAAGGTAACGCCGAAATTCCAAATGAATTTTATGTCTGTTGAAAAAATAAAATATCTTCGAAAGAAATATCTTTGACAGGGAATATTTTAAAATACAGGATATTTGGTAGGGAATATTTTGGATAAAAAGATTTTTAAAAGGGAATATTTTAGAATAAAGGAAATTTGAAATAGAATACGGTATATTCGAATAAATGACATTTGGAATAGAATATATTCGAATAAAGGAGCTATGAAAAAAAAAATCTATTGAATGAAGGATATTTTAAATGAAGGATGCATGAGCACGCAAGTAAGACATTACATATGTGAAAAATTTTAATTTTTTAAATGATCTGCAGCTACTTGCTTGGTATTGTTTCTGTTTTCGGAAGATGATAGAAATGCCTGGTAAAATATTAAAGTATTGAGGAGTTCGAAATTAGATGTCTAATGAAGTACGGTACCTAATAGTTTTTCTTGTGAAGTAAATATTCGTTTTAAAACATCCCTGATCGATGTCAGAAATATTCCGAATAATAAAAACATGATATGCATATTTTATGAATATACGTGAATATAATAATATTTTAATATAATATAATAACATATTACGTATTAAATGTAACATTCGGGTGATAATAAAAATAAATTTCAAACACAGACTACGGAAGCGTCTTCGGCAGCATCGAATCATTCGCGCCGCATAATAATAGTAATTTAATATAATTCAATAAGATATTATTAAATGTGACATTCAGGTGATAATAAAAATAAATTGCAGACACAGACTGCAGAAGCGCCGAATCTCTCGCGCCGCAGCTCAGACTCCTCAGACCACCACGAGATGCCTGACCACCGCAACCAGGGCGCCAGGTGAATAGTTTGGTCATGACTGGTAGTGTGACTAGCAATGCTGATTAGTATGTGACCAAGCTTGTTCTCCTTAAATCTGGTCATGTCATAAATCTCATCATGTCATCATCTTGTCAAGCCATTAATCTCGTCATGTAATCATCTTGTCTAGTCATTGATCTCATCATGTCATTATCTTGTCAAGTCATTAATCTCATCATGTCATTATGTCGCCGTAAATCAAATCAAAGAAATCTCGTTAAGACTGATTGTGTATGACTAATCGTGCTCACAAATTTGCGACCAAGTTTACAAATTAAAAATCTCCTCGCGTGATTTTCTGATTTTTGACGCGTGATTATGTCAAAATATAGACAATTTATCAATGGAAATTTCTCTGGGCAGCCCTCCCAACTCAGAAGTTAGCGGACCTGAAAGTGTTGCCGGTCCACCTCAGTCCGAATCCGGTCCTGCCCCAACGGGGCCGGTTCACCCGGTTCCTCCGGATGAGGTTCACCCGGTTCCTCCGAGTGAGGTTCAACCGGTTCCTCCGGGTGGGATTCAAGCCGCTCCTCGGAACCGAAGACGCGCACCGGTTCCTCCAAAGGCTGAGGTTTTTCAAGTTACTGCAATTCCTGAGGAGTCTTCGCACTCAAAACGGACAACTGTTCCTGAAGAACCTAATGCCGTTAACCACAACGGCGTTCATCTTCACACGAACGGCGTCAACGGTGGACATTCTATTGAGCAAAGCGAGCAACATGTCACAATGTCGTCTAATGGCTTCGGGGATAATTCCTCCACTGACAGTGATGCTTCTAGTCAAAAATTGATTTCAAATAACACCAAGGAAGATTCGGGGTCGACAAGAACTTTGACAGAAAATTCAACTCATGATCACTCTCCGAAAACCTCCAACCGAAGTCCTGCTGACCGTGAAAATAGCTTGGAGGAATTGGTGAACCAGTCGTCTGTTATAACAGCCGAAATATTCTTGCCTTCCTCCAAATCTTCTTCAATTGACGATGCTTCTGAACGCTGCATTTCTGGTGACACGCCTGATCTTATCGCCAGCACTGATGTGGACAACGATAGCATGTCTGCCGAGTCACCTACACCCATGCAATCGTCTCCACAATCCAGACATTCACTTCCTGACGATGTCAGCGAGACTTCATCCACTGCTCCTTCACCTGTAGAAAGAGAAATCTCTTTGGATGCAGACCGCTCATCTTCCAGTACTCCTGTGCTTTCTCAAACGGGTCAAAAGAACAACGATGCGGACCCAGATAGTCAAACACCGAATACATCCGTAGTTCACCCTGAAATTGCCTCCGTAGTTCATCCAGAAATTGCCAAAGATCCCACCGTAAAACCCGCTATTTCACCTGTAGAAGTTCCTGTAGAGTCGTACAGTTCATCATCAGCTGCAGCGGCCACGCCAGGTAAGCTGAACAAGTCCCTTTATTCTTTTTTGGTTTCCGAGTTTAAAGATGAAAACGTAGTAGAAGAATTTCTACTTAATTTGGAACACATTTTAGCTGATAGACATGAAGTAATGGTATAGTTGAAATATATCTCTACGTGTTTTGTAAGTTAAAAACTAGGTTTCTTTGAGTCTCATATACCCTGAGTTAAGTTTTGACGTTTTGTTCAATTACTTTTCTAGAAAAATTTGATGGAAGTCCCAAAATCTTTCTAACGCTCCATTTTATTATTTCTTTCATATTCTCATTCTGTTCCAACCAAAAAAACTTTATTTAAAAATCTTTATTGCTTTTGTATATCATGAAATTTGAATTTTTATACCTCCTCAAGAATATTATATCCCGTTGAAAACTCCCCAATTACCTCACTGTATACAATATTTGAGCAATCAAAGCTTTATTATTACCTATCTCAAAATGACCTGCACGTGAACCTGCAACTTGTCAATTCCAGCTTCTTTTAGATAATATTTTGCCCAATGAACGTGAATGTTTCTTTCATGAATTTAATTTAAATCCGTCATTCTTGTTTGTGAATTGATATTTATTTGGTAACTCTTTAACTCAACGCACTGCAAAGATATTTCAAATTGCATCGTGAGGTTTTCCTTTCTCTAAACACTTATTTGCTTTAATTATTGACTTTATTTACTATGAAATTTTCGTTTCTCGTTTGCGTTTTTTTTTCACTGTTAAGAAACCTCTAAATTTCTCCAAGATTTACGGTTTTCTTGAATGTGTTATTCTTTCTGCATTTTCGATGCTATGATAAATGAACATTATCATTTTCACTCTTGCGGCTCGAATGTTTTCATGTAATTTTTAAAATACATTGCTTGATATACTAATTCCAATAACCACAATAGAGATCATGACTTCTCGAAAATCAGTCCGTGAGACCGACTAATTTTCAAATAATGTTGTGAATCTTAATTTATATTGAACGCCTATTACTCCCTTAATATTACTTTTTGAATTTCAACAACGCACCTTTCGCTACTTCACTCCATATTTTAATTCATACGTCTACATTAAACTTTCACTAAGTAAATAAGCAGCTAAGAACATCTACGTTAACCGCATATTTCATACCAATAAATGATTTGGTCGATTATCCATCAGTGCACGGAGCGATCTTATTTCTTTGCCTTTTTGCACGAGCAATTATTTCTCGTTCATTTGCATTCTCTGTCGATTGCTGATAATTCAATGATTAATTTTAAAGTTATTCAATTGATTATGGAATAATTTAATATTATTATTGATTAAATTATGTTCATAATAGAAATTTAATAATTATCAAATAATAATAATTATCAAAATCAGTTAATAATTCAATAATTTGATGTATAATTTAGCTTTAGGGCGTGAAATATGGCTCTTGGCATGCATATCACATAGTCTGTTCATTATCCATGATTGGGTTCTGCTTCAGCTTGAATAGAATTTTCCTGTATAATTCATTAATTTTTTCACTGCGATTAGCAAACAAATTCCATGAATCGACGAAAATATTATAATGTTCGTGGTTCGTATTACTGTGAGTTGCTGATGCAAGAGGAATAATTGTCGCTTTTATATTTCTCTTTTCTATGAATTCTCTGCTTTCATTCAGTGTTCTAAGGTATTGATGCTTGTCTGTTTCCATTGGGCTTCTAGTTTAGTTTGTTAGACGTGCGAATCTGGAGTTGTAATATTTATCCTCTTTAATTAATTTGAAGTAGTAGTCATTATCAGTTATACAGTAAAATGACCGTAATTTTTGCGCTTGTTCCTCTTAAATTTTGAAGTATAGATCCAGTTTTCCCGTCTTTCAAAACCTTGAATTCTTCCGCTCCTGCGGCTAACCTCTCTAATAACTCCTCTTTCCCTGGTGCTCTAGCGGCTAACACCTCTGCTAACGCACCTGTCTTCGGTACTCTAGCTGCTAACGCACCTACCCTCGGTACTCTAGCTGCTAACACCTCTGCTAACGCACCCACCCTCGGCACTTTATTACCCAACACCCCTGCTACAGAACCAGTTGAAGTTCATCTATCATTAAACACCTCTCCTACCGCACCTAACCAAGTTACCTTGTCTCCTAACCCATCACCCACTCGAATGAGTCTCTCCACGCGACACTTACTCCTCAAGGAACAAAAAGCTCGTAAATCTTCACCAACTTTCCCTGAAACTCTACAAGGAAGCCTCACCGCGCATGATCCCTTGTCTGAGAATGCCCACGTTGACAAACATCCCATGCACCCAAAGTCTGACGCTGACGAACTGCCTGATTTTCTGAGGAACCGTGTCGGGGCGAAGCTAGTTAAGACTGAAATAGCATCTGAGAATTTAGCACATGTTTTAAGTATCTGCGTAAATGGACCTGTAGATCCAAAACAATTCTACTCGAATGAGTTGAGTATGGAAGTTTCAGATGATACTGCAAGTAACTCGCTTAAAGATGTGCCTAGTGGGAATTTGAAAGAGCGAAATGATGATCCAGCCGAAAATGTATGCTTATCACCAGTTAAGATTTTTGATGCATACCATGTTTCTAGCTCCCAACAACCTGAAAATATAAGGTACTTAAAAACCCACGACGTTTCTAGCACTGAAATGAGCATTTTAGAGGCTCCTGTCGAGGCTCTTGTGGAAAGTCTCGGGCTGAGCTTGAAATCGACGAAGTCTGCCCCCAGTGAAGATCTGAATATTGTCAATCAGGCTGTAACGGTGCACACTGCTCCTGATGTGCTCCAAATTGAGTGTCTGATGAATGAGAACAATAAATCAAGTTCAATCGTGACTTCAGATGCAAGTTCAAACTTACAGACATTGACTGCTTTGCCAGACTATTCCCGACCGACTTCGACTTGTGGGCTGAAAATGTTTGAATCTCCTATTAACCTCGACGAATCCCAGCTTGATGATAACGATACCTGCACCAGCTTTACTAACGACACCCTCGCCTCAAAACGAGTTGCTGCACTCATTCCCAAATCTGCAGAGTTAACGTCGCATAATATTTCTTCTGATCCCGTGTCGCAAAGTGACGAAATTTATGGCGAAATCAGAAATCTCGACATTGTCCACCCCGTAACTCCTAATGCCGTGTTTTCTCACAGGGCGACAGAAATGATCCCCCCTCCATTTTTCATCTCTACTTCAATTAAATCTTCTGCAACGCAACCTTCTTCTACTTCGAAATATTCATCAAGCTCTAATCACGGGGGAACGAGTAAAAATCTTCTACATAATAACATTCCATACTCAGCCGACCCAGCAGACACTCGCATGGATTACTCTGATTCCAGTAGTTTTAATTCATCCACCGAGGACCAGGGATATACTCCAGCAGAAAATGTTGGCCTAAATTTGGATGTGAAAACGTCACCTGGAATTTTAACAGACAATTTTTTTATTAAATCCAAGAAATTTCCGCTTGGACGCATAAATGAATCTGATCGTCTTGAAGACCAAATGGACATTACACGTCTTGAAGACCAAATGGACATTTCAATTGATTACGCATTCAACAACGAGACACAAAATTCTGAAAACTCTGAACAATCTACCGATGACATGTATCGTAGTGTTTGCGAACGCGTGGACAATGAAATAGCATCCGAAATTGGAAATGCCGATGACTTCAACCTCAAAATTCTCTCTGCGAAGAGAGACGTGAATGACATTGATTTGGACCTGTTATCTCTTCTATCAGAGGAATGTGTTGATACCTCCGACGACGAAAACGTTACACTCGAAGCATTTGAAAGTCGTAACTCGACAATGGCGGAGAGGGACTTGCAACCGGGGCCCAATGAGCTGCACAACAGCTCCTTAAGCAACGATTTAACATTGTGCAAATCACCTGCTTTAGAGAGCACGGCAAGTGAAGATTTCTTCAGTGTTCGAGGCAGTCAATCGGAGCCAACCTGGTTCACACCTCGCGATGATCTTGATACGACTTATGGGTCGCCTTTTTCATCGAGAGCATCTTTGTACTCGGATGAAGGTGTGAATGATAGATTTATTTAGAGTTATATTACTCTACAAATTGTCATATGGAACATTTACAGTAAAATTTTACATAGGATCAACATTCCTATCCATATTCAAGTGTATTGTGTTGTTACAAAGGCTTGAAACAGGAAATTTTTAACATTTTCATGCGGTTCTGCGTGGTTTACAGTATTTGGGTTGATGGTGCATGCATAATTCTTATCCGATGTTACAGTAACTAGCCAAAATGATGCATGAAAATTAATGGTGGTTTAAGGGATCTCCCTGGTTTCTGGTGTGGCGTTGCAATGCAGTATTTACGAAATTTCGCGGTAGAGTTTTCTTCCTTTTTTTATATGTACACCTGACATCGTTAATGAGAACTCGCAAAAAAAAAAGTTTTTTTACATACGTACGTTACAAGTCACAATTCGCTTTTAATCTAATGGCTATTACAAGCAAAATAACTTTCTGCGAGTCGTCTCAACCGACTTCCTCCAATTAACATTTATAGCTGATCCACCATTCGTTGTTTTCAAATTAGCTTGCTTTTTTGCCCCTGCTTCCTGGTAAAGGTACAGCTTTGCTTCAAAAATTCTATCAAATCGGCCTACGGTTTTCTTCACTTTTATGATCACATTGATGATATACTGATTATTCTCCAACTTTATTTACTGACCGTTGATTCTTCATTCACTAATTAGGAGCTTATATCACACTTATCAAGTCGCTGCGTCTTATATTCGTACCAGGGCGATACTCTCACCTCGATAGTTCGAGTTGAAAAAATTCAACAAAATCAGGATTGCAGTCTCAAGTCAGCCTCACATTATTTTACCCTATCGTGACCAGCAAAAATTCGTGTACGGAAGACGTCAGCTTAAAATATTTCCCTGCTAATCCTTTTTTACTGCCTCCAGATCACGAAGTGCAAAGAACGTCGCTTAGTTTTTCGTCGGAAAGTTCTGTGGAAATCGAAATTGGGAATCAGGCGGAGGGGCATGCGAAGTCCGGTCATCGTGCAGCTCTCATGCATAATGGTGTACCTTCTCTTCCACATGAAGAATACGTTCATACCAACTGTGGTTCTTTTGATAGTGACCGTTTGAGTAATGGTGAACAAATATCTGTTGTGACTGAGACTGCGAGAGCAATGCCAGTCATACACGATGAACAGCTCCGCCCCACAGTTGATGTTGTTGATGATGCACAAGCAGAAAATTCAAATTTAGACAAATATGTAGTGGTCCAAAAAGCACCTTCCCTGGATGAAAGTCACAAGACAGCCTCGGAAGAAAATTTTTCAACAAGGTACCACAGTGATTCTATTGAACAAGATTCAAGACAAGTCGATGAAATGTTTGCTTTCATTCATCATTCACGTGAAGATGAAGTAGTTGATAATGACTCAAATATCTTCCAACTAGAACCCGAAAACCAGTTTCTGGAACAAACCGAAGACCAAAGGGCCTCTGGTCAACCTGATGAAGCTGCCCATTCCATTAGATCAAAAAGCGTTCCCAGCGAAGCGGTAAATGAGGAGGTAAAGGTTGATTATCTTGTGCCTTCCGCCGTCAACGTTAACATTGTTGCTTCACAGCCTTCAACTACTGAGAATTTGCGTCTCAACGATGGAAACGAATTGAGTTCACACCCCCCCAAACAGATTGCGATCACGAATGGTGTGGTTGATGGTAAATTATCGGTCACATCCGAAGAATACCCCCACACAAATGAAAAATCTTCAAGTATAGATCCAAAAGTCAAGAATTATGTGATATCTGAGCTCAAAACATCATTAGAGAACGACAGAAATTTCAATGATCTTATACTAGAACCTAGTAGAAAAACGTACACAGAAGTTTACTCATCGACTTCTTCACCTTGTGAAATTCGTAGAATCCCGAGCCGATTGAAGGATTCATCCACAACAAGATTCGATTCAATTTCCAGCTATGAAAGTTGTCAAAATGGTTTCGAAGAATTAAAGGAAGCGAGATCTGGGTCTGAAACAAGTTACGAAAGTGCGCCTCCCCCTATACCTGAAATTCCTCCCCCGCCGTATCCAGGGAGAGTAGAATTGCCGGTTGCAATTGAGGCGATCAATCGCTCTCACGAAACTTTTTCTCAACAACCACTGAATCGTACAGTCTTGGATGTGCCGACAGCGGTAACTTCTACAGCACCGACATATGCAGCACCTGAAGTTAAATCTAACGGAGTTTTAGATTCTAAAAACAAACAAGATGAAAACGCTTCATCACAAGCTGTAAGTCCCAAAAACTCTTCAAAAGGAATCGACCGCGTTTCTTCAGAGTCGTCAGTAGATTCAGATAGTGCCGTACAAACCACGTCGTTAGAACTCAAACAACCTACAAGTAGAACGAGTCGGACTAAGCCGATGATTTTCTCCATCTCAACCTACAAGTCGCGGGCTGAAGAAATAAGCTATGGGTTGAAGGTAAACCAAACCGGTTCACTGGATGATCCAGAGGAAGAGCTAGCCATCGTCGACGGTACTCTGCTAAAGCAAGCTTGTATCGATCCTCTCAATGCTACCCCGCAGAGGACGATAAATTCTGCCCCTACTCTAGACAATATTACTGGAGCAGGCAGGAGTGAAGACATCGCACGTGTCGATCCTATAGTTTCGTCGCCAACAATAGAAAAGCAAGTACCCAAAGTCAACGGATTCCACGAATCGTGTGAAGAACCAGAGTCGCAAACTTTGTCGAATGATTCATATTCGTCTTTACCTAGAAATTTCCGTACTAAAATGACGATAGATTCTGCTAGCAGTACTCAAAATGGTGAGTTGAACATAGATTTACTGCGATCAGATTCATCTGACTTTGTCACATCACCCACTACGTCTCTATCGAAGACTTCCACTACGTTATCCTCAAACGCTAGTCAGGTCCCACTTCCTCGCACCTTCGTGGTTCCAACCGTCCAGCCATTGAGAAGCCTTATAACTCCCAAACCTGCACCCAATCCTAAACCTTGGGTATCCACAACTGCCTACACGGCTACACCCTGGAATGGAACCACTCGCGCTGTCCAAAAAGTTGCGGCTTCGAAAAATTCTATTAGCCAGAAACCTGATGTTCCTCCCACACCCGATTCTGACGAAGCCAAAGATACTGGAAACGCGTCTGTCGCCCGAGGCATGAGCTTTTATGACCGTCGGGCTGTGTTCACCAAAGTTGATCGGTCAACACCTGCAGACAACAAGACCGTTGAGTTCAGGAAACCTGTTTCAAAACTGACGGTAAGAAAAACATAGACAAATCATTAAATCGTTAAAGTCGCAAACACAAAAAAATCTACTTATTTTTTAATTTGACTGCGATTTTTAATTTCTGTTTTAGAAAGGCCCAAAATCCAAAACATGTTGCTACTTCAAGAGACTCGTCAAAAACTTCTGTAAAAATTTTATCAGAGAATTAGTTTTCGATTATGTTCGACGGTGAATCTTGATATTGTATCATTATCTGGGTTAATAAGGTATAATTTGTGGCTGTTTCTCTTTCATTAATTTTTATTCATTATTTTAGATCTTCTCTCAGACTTGTGGACATATCTATGAATCACTTATAATTTTAGGTTATATTAACTTTATTTTATTCTCAATATAAATTATTCTATTTTTCGGACTGCAAATATCTGTACTCTTAACTGTTCGATAAATAAATAATCAAATTGTCATGTACTGGTGTAGGGCGGCATCTCAATGCGTCAGTGGGAGCAGCAGCAGCTGCGCCAGAGACAGCAGATGAAGAGATCTACGAGCCTCTCTAACCTGCACTCGGACGTCTCTGAACTGCACAAGGCTCAGTCTTCTTCCTGTCTCAGTGAGTACCTACTGATTCAGTCGTACTGATCTAATGGAAATTATTTAACTGAATAAACTGGTTCTTACACAACTTACGTTTAAGGTTTATTAGCTTTAAATAAACTTAACCTTGCTGCGTGGGGGGAAAGGTTTGTAAAGAATATAATGACTTTAATCTTACCATCATTGATGACAAGCGTTTAATATGAATCAACAGATTTACCGGTGTTATGTCGTTTTTGTTTCATATGAACACCGCGCGGGTGTTATTCTTCACTCATGTTTGATCGGTATACGCTTTTTATCTATTGCCACTACAATCTTAATCGATAATCAATTGTTTTCTGCTGTTATAACAGTAGAAGGTAGTTACGTATATGATAGGTATATGTTAATCGGTTTTCACTCATGCGATCTACATAAATGAGTGATAGGTACAACTGAGGACCATAGCGAATTAACTAAAAAATATTGCTGCATTGGATGGTTTTGCCTTTTCGTCCTGCACTCAGAAAATTTAATGAGTCGTATTGCTCAAATTGTGACAACTTCTAGGCCACAGCACGAGCAGAGAGCGAAAATAGCAATGATATACCACTTTTGCTGGGCTAAACTATGTCAGGATGACCCTCACATTGGCGGTAGTTGGACAAATTTTTAATAATGTTCCTCTCATTTCTTTGGGTGTTGGTTTACTGCCGTCCTACGCGTGTGGGGACGGTAGCGCCTTGATGCCCTTGGTTTACTGCCGTCCTGCGCGTGTGGGGACGGTAGCGCCTTGATGCCCTTGGTTTACTGCCGACCTACGCGCGCGATCAAGGCCTGCGTCGTGGGAGTTGCGCGCTACGCATGCCATAGCGGCGGCTCGCCCACGGTTGATACGAGCGCTGCCACACCGCCTGTGCCAACGCCTTTTTAATGTTTATCTTTTAATTCAACTTAATAGCTGAGGTATCCTTATTGTTATCAGACCTGTTGAATTTGTTTGTATCCTGTTATTTTTTTATTGTTCGTTGACGGGATCTTTTGATTTAGATTAATTTTTCGGTGATTTAACAATCAAGAACTGTTTCTTCTAGCTAGATTACTACATGCTTGTTCGAACTTTATCATTGATCTGAAGAATTGGTTCATAAGTTTATAGTGTGAAAATTTTTTCAGATGATTATTATGACCTTTTTACGAAATCACGCAGACCATACAGTTAATAAAGTTTCACAAAATCGCTTCCTGTGAATTTTTGAAAGGTATTCTATATTTATATTTATTGAAATGTATTTTGTTTCCTTATGTCTGAAGTTAATCCCCCGAAATAAAATCAAATTTATATGAGCATTTAAAAAATGATTCACGTTTTTATTGCGATAGGGACATCTTTCAGCTGAAGGCGGGAACTTTGATGCGTTTTTTCTATGCCATATAACACCGACCTATGCTTCTTCGTGCGCCTGATGTAAACTTCGCTATAATGTCTGCACGAGACGCGCGTTCTGCCTCCGTATAATTTATATGACAGCAATATACCGATATTATTTCAGAGCTTGCCACCGCATGCCTGCCTATCTAAGTCTTTTCAATTTTTCATAAAATTCTCTGCTCTGCTGCCTTGCATCTCCTCCAACGAAGATTAAATTTTGGGTGTAACCATTAGCAAATTTTCTTCCTCTTTCAACACTGTTTATTGTGGTTCTGTCCTTGGTCAGTTATTCATCGTCATCTGAAGAATCGTTCGACCCTGAAAATTTAAATCAACGAATTCTCTGGTAATTATTCGCACGTGTTTCAACAAGCAAATTCTGCCTTCTAATACGAAATCGGCAGCAGTTCACCAGATACGGAAAGGAACATTGAAACGTATCAACAGTGCCCCTATTAATGCAGAAATGTTTTAATAACTATCCTAATTTAGGCGTAGTGTGAATACGTAGCTCATGTGTAGACCAGATTGCGATCGAAGACGTCTTCTAGGTTAATCTGGGGCCATATACTTTCAAAACTGGCTAAGTGAACGTAAGTACTTATACGCTCTATTTTCTTGTCTATGATTGGTGGATTTTGCTTGAAAGGCCGTCAATGATTGGCTGATGAACTTACGATCTCTTAACATTTTTTTTAAAGTATAGGCCCTGAAATGGAAGTAAGCAACTCAAGGTGACTACACTCGTTGCCAGTGCGTAATCTGCTTGATACGTCACCAAGCCGTGTCGCAATTCTGAGTCATGCAGAGGTATTTCCTGATGACGGTGTGGTGTTGTTTGATGTCAATATACTCGGGCTAATTCGTGTTGACAATTTTTAAACTAAGTTTTATTTCGGACACGCGCAAGCTTGACCCATAGGTTATAGGTACTTGCACCAAAATTGCCCAACTATCGTGTTGCTATATAAGAGGTGAAATTTACGGATACCGTGAAAATTTGAATACAGGTACAATGAAGTTTTTAATTTATTCAATAAAGCAAGTCACTTTTAATACTTCTTGTAGTCCCAAGTTGCAAAAAAATCTCGTAAAAACTATTCCTCAAAACTAAACCCAAATATCCTCTACAGCTAATAAATATCAATCAATTTGATTAATAAACAACCAGTGGTTTTTCATTGTGCATGTCAAGCGCATTTTATTGTTCAATTTACGTTTCCGAAGCACACTCATTATGAAGTAATATTTACATTGTAGATTAAGGAAATTTTGCTTTGGATTTGTGTTTTTATTTACTTAAAATCTGGTTGTGAAGGGTTGAACAATAATTTGACCCTTTCCAAGCAACCGTGGAAAGGGTTACTTGGAAAGTACATATAACTGCTTATAATAATCAACTAATTTCTGTTAGATTATTCCAAATATCAGTTACAAATAGTTGATAATTCTTTTAGGTTTACATGATAACTAACCAATTCGGTTTTACGGTTATTTATTTATTGTTGAATTTTCTTTTAGCATTGGCACGTGTATTTTTTCATTGTTTTAGCCAACTTAAAAACCTATTCAAAGTTCACTGAAGAAACTTGTGAACCGATTCTGAAACTCGTATTATCACATTCAACATCCCATCGTTTTTTCATCGTTGTTGAATTCCTGAAAATCTTGAAGTTCTTATTCAGCTGCGCAAGCCGTCGTATTCAACTCAGAAAAATGTACGAGTCAAATTATCCAAAGAGCGACATGCTTTCATACCCAGAGCACCAGAAGAGAGCGCTTGTATAGCACTGATACCTCATTTTGCTGGGTCAAACTGCATTTTTCACAAGGGCGAAAAATGCATCACTGTTTTTTTGCATAAATGCATCATTGTTTTTTTTACATAAACGCATCTCTATTTAAACAAAAATTGCAGGAAAATCTCGCTTCAATCTCAGAGTTTTTTTTATGAAGTAAACAGTCGCCGTGGATGGAATTTAATGCCGCCCCAGCAGTTGCTTGAGCTGCTCTAGCAGTTGCTTGAGCTGCTGCAGCAGTTGTTTGAGCTGCTGTAGCAGTTGCTTGAGCTGCTCTAGCAGTTGTTTGAGCTGCTGGCAAAGTTGTTTGAGCGGCTGCAGCAGTTGCTTGAGCTGCTCTAGCAGTTGTTTGAGCTGCTGTAGCATTTGCTTGAGCTGCTGGCAAAGTTGTTTGAGCTGCTGTAGCTGATGTTTGAGCTGCATGACTATGCAGAAGTGATGTCGTCTGTGGCTCTATGCAAAGCAGCGAAAAAAATTGTTTTTGAAACCAGTCGGTCGCACTTGAGCTTATGCTTGAGTTCAACGTACTCACAGCCAGCGGTATATCGACAAATTTGGATTCTACCGGATTCAATACTTGACATTCCTTTTGTTAAATCCCATGCAGATTATAAAAACCACAGTGTGAAAAGTCACGTTTTTATAATTCTTTCGCGTTTTTATAATTATAATAGTCACGTTTTTATAATTATAATTCTTTCAAAGCCACGTTCAATTATATTCTTTCAAATTAAATTATATATTGGTCCGTGTCTTCAAATAATCTAATTGAATCAGCGTCTTCTGTTTTGGAGTGAAAAAAATATTTGAAGTATTAAATACTTTTCTTCAGTCTACTTTCCGGCAGGAATTTCTGCAAATTTGTCGCGATATTCTCCCTAGCTCATGAACACGCACTATAAGAACAACGTCATCTCAGGCAGACGTAAAATCATGAACGTTAATCTTGTCGTCCAGCTCAGTCTCTGGCTGGACTTGGTCTCGGCAAGTTTTGCTCTGGATTGCTCGTGCGGGTTTTCGGTTCGTAGAACTCGTGTAATTGGAACCTCTTACTTTCAGATGCAATGAATCAATACGTTGGACTTCGGTGACAGTTTATCTATTTTTTGTTTTATTGATTATGAATCTATGTTTTGAAAACGACATCTCTTCTGTCTTAATCATACTAAAAACGATCTGAGGTAATTTAAATATGACATTATAATGAGCTCTGATCCTGTTACTTGAAATCCCACTTGTTTGTTAACAAATCAGAAGAGGCGTGTGAATATTTTATAAATAAAACATTCGTTATATTTCTCAGCATTTTATTATTGTCGTTCAAGTATCCATGAATCTCGACGAGTTGAATCCCGCCTTTTTTTTAATTCTGTCGAATAAAATGTGAGGAAAGTGAAGCAATTATCCTTTAATTACTTTCCAAATATTCTGGTTCCATAAGCTTACTTTAAATATCCCAGTACAATAAGAAAAGTTAACGTATTTATACCATAGCTTTATCACTTTAATTTCTTTTCTATCATTATAATATGTTATATTGTTTTGTTTTATTAGAAATCGTTGAGGAGTTCGATCGACGATCTAATTGTCCATTACTTGCCAGAGAATCAAACTTGTGATGTACGGTTAAATCCGTTAGAATGGTGGACGCAATATTTTATAATTTTTTCAGAAGAATTTATTGATTTAACGCTACATTTGTAAATTGTGTGCCTTGTGTTTAAAGTGAAGTTTGTTACACCAACCGGCCATTACTTGATGAAAGTAGAACAAATTCCTTACAAATTTGCGTTGAAATTTGTA